TCTGCTCTGCAAAGGTTTGCAGCCGTTGACCCAGGCTGCAGGCCCACTCTGGTGCTCCCGGGCACCGCTGGTCTGGCAGCGCGGTGCAGCCTGAGCCACGTGTTTGTGGTGCGAGGGCCAGCTCGGTGGGTTGCTCTGTGACTGCAGCCAGGAAACGTGTGCCTGGACTCTTCCTTTAGAGCAGGAGAAAAAAGCATCTAGTGAAGATTTTAGGCACCTATAAGTTCAGGGCTGGATTCTCTGTCTCCCCATGGTAGCTCCTTTCCTGGCTGGTGCTCCCGGTGTCTGTGCACACTTCAGGTTTCACATCGTCCTGCGTAACCGCAGCGAAAGTCGGTGTGTCGGCCCCGGCTCGAGCACGGTGAACCACGAGGAGATGGCGTGTGCCAGGCGCCGGAGCCCTCGCTCTGGAAGAGAACTCAGAAGTTACTGACTCATTAAGAAGATTGCGTTTCGATGATGCCAGCTGAGGGACTGTCACGAGGCTGTGGTTTTTCCTTTTTGTGTCTGTCTCAGCAACTGCAGAGTGAATCCTCTGACACTGGAGCCGTGTGCTCGCTGCTGCGCGGCCGCAGTTGGTAGCAGAAGGACAGGTACTTGTCCTAAGGTGCCACCCGTGGAGAAGGGGAGAGGGCCCTCGGCTTGGAAACAGCACAAATACATCCCCTCCCCTTATTGTGGGATGAGCCATTGCTGCACGTGCCCCGCTGTACACCTGGTTTGTCCCCTCGTGTGTTACTGCTGCCAAGCCCGGCGTGCCAGAGCTCCGGATGCCACCCTGCTCCAGAGCTCCGGTGTCAGCCAGGCGCTTCCGAGGTTCTTTGGTTCGTTCTCAGACAGTGTTTAAACTGCTCAGCAGCGGTGCAGTGCCACCGCGCGCTTTGCAGCGAGTGCAAGGACCCATCCTGTGCCCAGCGCCGCGCCGGGCAGGGCCAGCTGGCAGCGCGCAGGGTGCTGCTCCCGCGCCTGGAAGGCGATGAGTGGAACCGTGGGAACCTTTCCCAGCCAACTCCCAGGTGGTTCCCAGGTGCGCCGGGGCGATGGGATCGTTCCCCGCGGGCATTCAGCGTGCAGCCACGCTGTGTGCGTGGGCAGATGTTTGCCCAGCCGTGCCTTACAGCCTCCCGGGGAACCGAGACTTCTGCAGTGCTTCTGGTTTCAGTGCTGCGTGGGCTCTTCTGGTGGTCAGAGAGGTTTTCTGCCCTGCTACAAATTCAGCCCCGTCCCGTGTTCTCCTTCGGAGGGCAGAGACGGGCACGGTGTTCCCTCTGGGTGGTGACCCTGTCCGTGTGGAGAGTCAGCTGCTCCTGCCTTGTCTCTTCTTCCCTGTGCTAAATAAACCTTGTTGTTTCAGTTTCTTGAAGGAAAGGTTTTGTATTATTTTTGTTGTAGTCGGACTCCAAGAAAAGTGCTGCTCAATGAGATCTTTTTGTTTAATTTTTAAAGTTTTGGGGAGCAGTGTCAATATCTGTGACCTTTTCTACACCTGCTGCCTTTCCTTCATAGGTACACGGACTTTGTGCTTCTTGTTGCTGAACATAATCTTTGTCATTTTCTGGGCTGTTTTCAATGTGCAGACTTGTCTGGATCCTGGAAAGAACCTGCAGCTCTTCCCAGCTCGGGCAGAGGTGCTGGGCCCGTTCTGGCGCTGCCAGCAGCTCTCCAGTCAGGGCCCGTCCCACCACGGTCCCTGGTGCCAGCAGCTGCCCCTTCCCCTGTTTGCCCCTTCCCCGCTCTCTGCCTTACCGGCTGTGCAGTGCAATGCCTAATGAAAGCTAATTAGCACCATCTTCCCTTCCCAGGGCGTTATCTCTCTTTGCTCCAGGCAGGATGCCCTCCTCTCCAGCCTTTGCTGATGACCTCGCCTCGCTCGGTTTCTGCCAAAAGGGGCCACCTCTTCTCCGTTCTTTGGCAAGCCTTTAGACGTGGTGCTGGGGGTGCAGCCAGGTTCGGGTACCTCGGCGCGTGTCCCATGCTCCAGTGCCACATCCCAGCTCCACTGACCAGCCTCTTCTTTTCTTACAGCCGAGTCCTTCAAGGAGTTTGCAGAGCTGCTGCACGAGGTAGAGCTGGAGAGGTCCATGATGGTAAGATGATCTGAACTGTGCTCTGGCAGTTACTGTTTAAATGCTAAATCACGGCCAAACGGCACCATGTACCTCGGTGTGAAGCTTCCCATCAGAGGGAAGCTGGGAGCACTGGGAGCGTTGTGCTTTTTACCACGTCTGGTCCACGGTGCCGTCGCCAAGTGCCCTGAGCAGCAAAGAGAAGGTGCCGGAGAGGGATGGGGAGAGGTTGTCCCACGCAGTGTCCGAAACCTCTCTGTCGTGCCCGGCACTGGTGGAGTGCCAGGACCCTGCCGTCTGCAGCAGGTTTGCTCTGCAGAGCCAGGTGTGTCTGAGCTGGTAACAAGCTGGTTTTGTGGCGAAACAAGGTGTTACAGAATAAGCAGCGAGATGTTCTATTAGCTGTGGTTTTGCTGGGTGTGAGTGCACGGGTCCCCCCGTGCCCCTGCCCTCGCGGGCACAGCTCCCGCAGAGCCGTGCGCTGCCTCCGCTCTCCCGCTGCGTTGTGCCCTCTGCCTCTCCGGAGCTCCTCCGGAGCCAGCGTTGGCTTCCCGTTCCCCTCCTGGTTCCAGGAAAAACACGAAGGGTAGGCTCGGCAGAGAGCTTTTGCAGCGCGCCAGGAATGTGCTGCTTGGCTTTGTGTTCCTCTGCCTCGTGCAGCAGCAGGAGCTCGTGCCAGGCTGCCGGCTGGGCCAGCGCCGCAGGGGTGGCTGCGCCGGTGGGACGTCACCATCCGCGCTGCGGGTCCGCAGGCAGGCAGGGAGCGGGAGGAAACCAGTGAGAGGCTGGAGGAAAGCAGTAGGATATTTCTTTACTAATTACATCCCAGGTGCAGTGGCTCCTTTTGCAGTGGCTAAAGGGTGGAAGGGATGGTTTCAGGGATCATGGATGCTTTCAGGCATGCTGTCCAACTTTTCTAAAGTTTGAGGGGGTTTTTCCCCTCCACTTGTGGGACCAGTACGTTACGGTAGCTCACTCAGAAGGTTTCACGCTCTCACCGCGTTCATCAGCTTTAAATTACCCGAGAGCGCTGTGGCAGTGTCGTGTCGTACCCCCTTCTCTTCCCCTCTCCTTTCTCGGGAGCTCCGGAGAGCCTGTTGCAGTGGAAGTGGGGACGGGAAGAGATGGCAGGTCGTGTGCCAGTGCCAGGGTGGAGCTGGAGCCAGTGATACAAACTGGGATGAGTTTGCCTGTGGATTCCTGGAGAGGAAGTGCAGAGCATCCCCCAGGAAAGCATCTTTCAGACATCTGATGGGACTGGAAGAGGCACAGGCAGGCTTTCCTTTTCCCTGTTACTGTTATTCTCTGGCTGTGACGGATAACCTGCTGTCGTTCCTCTTCTGGCTGGATCTCAGGAGAAGGAAAGTCCATCATTTATTTGAGAGCCATGTTATCAGAGCCATCAATAAGTGATTAAGTGACTTCACCTACAGACAGAGAACAAGTTTGCAGTCAGAGACATTAAAACTGAGAGTTCTTGGCTTCCAGCCCTGTTCAGCCTCTATTCAGGAGAAAATTCATCTGTCCCCTGTAATTAAACTGTTTCTCTCTTTGCACTGTAGGTACAGAACGCTAGTGATTTGCTGATCAAGCCTTTGGAAAACTTTCGGAAGGAACAAATAGGGTTCACCAAGGTAAGGCTTGTTTGTTTATTTTAAATTTAAACAGGTTTTCTATTACTATGTTTGAATTTAATTTTTTCTCCTGTTTTTCTTCATTGTTTGTAAAAAGTAGACAATTCTTATACCACGTTTCAACTTCATGCTTTCAGAAACTTCCCCGTTTAGCGCTGGCTTTCAGCTGCTGGCACGAGAGAGTCCGTGCTGTGACTTTTAGTCTGATTTTTCAATCATAAGAGGCTCCAAAACCTTTTCCTGAATTCTTTGGGTTCTCTTCTGGCCTAATTCCAGCACTGGCTCCATCCTGAGCAAGGAGTGCTTGTTTCGGCCGGTGGTCAGGAGATACTCTTTGCTGCTTTCTCTCTGCCCCCTTTGTTCATCCAGTGCTGTTGAGAATAGAATACTTTCTCTGGATAAGCGTGTGTTAGAGCAGGAGGGAGAGAGAGCAGCAGAGGCTGGCGGTCAGAACTCGATCGTAGGGCTTTTGTTATGAAATACTTAAATAAAGTATCCAATGAGTCTTTCAGATGGACCAAACTTTTAAAGAAACAAACCGTAGAAAGCAAATCCTGCACATGTTGAGCAGGAGAGATTGTTTTCCCCTTGTCTGCTATCAAGAAGTCCAGGTTCCACATTACTCAGCAGCAGCTTGAAATGGGGCTGGCTCTGAACCAGCTCCAAAATGGAGATGTTTTGGAGAACGCTTAGGGCTTGGATTCAGCCCAGTCCATCTGGAGTCTTTGACATTTAATAAATACAGGATTTGAGAGATGATACATGGTCACCCTCCTGCCCTTCAGAGCCCCCCGTACGACTGTGGGTGCAGGAGGCCTCTCTGGGA